AGTGTCACACACTCTAGACCCAGCCACCTCTGAAAAAGCTCCGCCTATGACTGCATGAGGCTTGCAGGGGACATCTAGACACAGTGCATAACATTCTGCTCCTGACTCCCTGAAGACTCATGCATATTCCTTTATATGAAAGGCATTTAGTCCATCTCCAAGAGTTGCCAAAGTTTCAGCATTGTTGAAAAGTCCAAGCCCAAAGTCTCCTCTGAGATTTAAGGTAAACTCTTAGCTGCAAGCCCCTGAAAAAATGAAAAGAAAGTTAAACACTTCCAACATTCAATGGCACAAGATAGACATTTCCATTCCAAAAGTTACAAATAGGGTGCTAGCAAGGAATGGGAACAAAATAAGACCAAAATCCAGCAGAGCAAACATTAAATCCCACAGCTCCACTTCCAGCATCCTCAGCAATCTGGAGCAAGTTGTGAACTCCAAAAGGGTTGGGTGGCTCTACCCCTGTGGCACTGCCAGTGGTTGTAGCTCCCATGGCTTCTCTCCAGGGCTGGCTCTGCTCCCTCCTTGCAGTTTTCCTTAGAGGATCCACGTTCTTGGCTTCTCCAAACTTCTGGGGTCTCCACTGTACCTTTGGCTTTGCCCTCAGCTTCGCACACTGCCTGGCCTCCTAGGCCCTCTTCTGAGTGGAAGCCTTCCTAACCCCACAACTCTTGCATTCTTCATGTATCTAAAACCAGCACCAAGTGGATGATGCTGAGGTCTGTCACCAGCTGGAGCAGTAGCCAGGCTTCCTTCTCTCTTGGCCATAGGGGTTGGGTGTCTATGAACCAAATCCTGAGGAACAACTTCCCTAGGCTGTTGGGATTCTGGAACACGGTGCTCTAGGGCTCTCCTCTCAAAGCAGTCTTTCACCTTTGCAACTCTGAGGGTGCAACGGGGAGAGTCTTGCTGGTTTTTGTGATGTCCTCAGGCCATCTTTTCTGTTTTCTTCTTCTGAAATACTTAGCTTTTTCTTGCTAGTCTTTTCAGTGACCAATTTCTCCCTTGTTCCATCTTTGCAGTGTGCAACTTTCCTGGAGCTTCTCTTACTCAAGTTGACACAATCAATCAAGTATCACAAACTTTGTCTTCTGTTCTGACCTCTGTTTCTGTCTCTGCCTTCATTTCTTTGTCTCACAAGACATTTTCCTTTCTGTTTCCTGGTTGAGGACTCTTGGTTTTTGGGGGGGGGGGGTTGGTACCAGGGATCAAACTCAGGACCTTGTGCTTGTGAGGCAGGCAGCGGAACCACTGAGCTAAATCCCCAGTCCAGCTCGCGATTTTAAAGGTTTCCCCAATATTAAGTTGAAATTGTGCTTTCCTTGCTCATTCCAGAGGAAGAGCTTCCTGAGGCGCCTGGTATTAAAATTTGGCAAAAATTAACCTGAAATTTGTTGTTTGACAACAACAAATGGTTTTAAGAGCACACTAGACACCTGAAGTTGGGTGGATTGTGGCCACCAGCCTTGCTGATGTGTCAGGATGTCCGTTGGGAGGCCAGAGTGAGACCATGCCATTGTTTCACCATTGCAGGTAGACACCTGCGGTAGGGTGGGGTGGGGCTGTGGCCATCTTTGGCTTGATCACTTGGAGTTGACTACTAGACAGATTGTACCTGTTTAGTGAGGTGTTGGTGTAGATTGCTGTGTGTGGTCCTGAATATTGGACTTTACTGGGGTGCTGGTTCTGGGGAGCATTGTCTTTTGCTGTTGAAAACAAATTTTCTGGATAAAGGGTCTGAATTCCTTGTGTTTAACCTCCAGGTGATTTGTACCCTGATTTCTGTTTCTGTCTTTGCTTCCTTTTTCTTTGTCTTGTGAGCCCTCCCCTTTTTCTGTTTCCCAGTTGAGGATGCCTGGTATTGTAAGGCTCTCCACTTGGCTCAATTTGGGTATCTGTGCATTCTGATTTTGCAGTTCAGAATTGTGCTTGTGGGGGACTCGACCTACCCCTCCTGTAGGAAGACATTCCCTGTCTGTGGGAGCCCACCAGACACCGCTGTAGGGTAGACTGAGGCCACCAGCCTTGTTTATGTGAAGATATCTGCTAGGAGGATGGAGTGAGACCTCGAGCACTGGTTTGCATCATAGGTAGACACCTGTGGTAGGGTGGGTTGGGGCCACAGAAGCCTTTGGCTTGTCATTGTGTTAATTGGGTGCTAGACCGGTCGCACTCTTTAGTGCGCAAGGTATTGGGGTAAGCTTGATGTGTTTGTGCTTCAGGTTATTGGGCTGGTTCTGGGAAGCCTGAGTTGTTTGCTGTTTTCTGGACAGGTGGTCTGAGTTCCTCAGATTTCCTTGTACTTCATTTTTGCCATCACCTCCTCTATATTACTCTTATATCTACAAGTAATTTGTGATGTACTTTCCCTTTTTTTTTCCTTTGGTACCGGGAATCGAACTTGGGACCTTGCACTTTCGAAGCAGGCAGCGGAACCACTGAGCTAAATCTCCAGCCCTTTGTGACTTTCGATTGTGTACTTGTCCAGAAAATATTTGTCTTGACATTTTTGTTGTACTAACTATTGTTGCAATCTCGTCTGTTGTGATTGTCTTTCTTACCAGTCTCTCTAGTGCTATTATATTCTCTTTTTTGGTACCGGAGATCGAACTCGGGACCTTGTGCTTTCGAGGCAGGTGCTGGAACCACTGAGCTAAATCCCTGGCCCTAGTGCTATTATCTTCTTAGAAATAGCATGGGTGTGTTGTATGGAAGAGCTCTGGTATCTTGGTATTTGTTGATTCAGTTCTTTATCCCAGGTTGTAAGTTTGGGTTTTGCCTGGTAAAGGTCCCACCAAACATGGGAACCACATGGAGTTTTCCAAAGGACTCACCACTAGATGCCTTTTGACTAATTTGGGCGAATTTTAAGAGGATGGTTTAAAGAAAAAGAGGCTGATCTTTTTTTGTAACACAGCCTGGCCTCAATGCAAATTGAGAACCCAAGAACACTGGCCAAAATATGGGTCTCTGAATTATACCATTCTCCAGCTACATCTGTTCTGTAAAAGGGAAAGGAAGTGGCCAGATATCCCTTACAACCAAGTCTTCCTGAAGTTATACCCAGACCCTAGACTTGGGAACTCTTGTTGGATCTGTGTGCCTACAGGCCTGACACAGACATGCTTACAGATGCCTGCTTTTAACCAGCACCTTTCTGGCAGATATCCACAGTTCCCTATATTCAGCATGGGCAACCTTGATGCTGGGCAACCCTCTCTATCTCATGAGCCAGCTGATAGTCCTCTTTCTCCTACCATTGAGTCTTCTTTTTCCCTTAACCAAAGCAGAGGTCCATTTGCCTTCATCCCCACCAACTCCTACACCAGCAATCCCATCCCCATTGGGGTGGAGATCAAGAAGGAAACCCCACTTCACTCAGGGGAATCTGTGCCTGTTATGGGAGGCGTCAGGTGGGATCAGAAGTGTTTTCAGAGTATATGTTGCCTTCTCAGTAATAGACATGTCCCAGTGAAAAGTAAGGATTGGCAGTTTTTTGGAGAATCTAGGTAAATACAGGGATGAATTCATTAAGTTGAGTGCAACCTTTGTCTTGACTTGGAGGGATGCAATTGCAGTGTTAAGTAGCTGATAGGTTGGCAGCTATTGCTCCAGTCCATAATGTTCAGAGGCCTGGAGAGGAAGCAGTCCCTGCACAGACCCCAAACATGACCCTGAGAATTCTATCCGTAAGGGAGAATGGATCCCAGCACTCAGGAGCCTGAGGCTGGAGGAGTGCCGTGAGTTCGAGGCCAGCCTGCGCTACATAGTGAGTTCAAGGGCAGCCTGAATTACATAGCAAGACCCTGTCTCAACCCCTTCCCTTAAAAAACAACAACAACAACAATAGGAAAATGGAACATTTTGTAATTTGTATTTCAAAAGGAATGGGAAGATATCTGGTTAAGTCTCTCAACTATGATAGGTTTAAAGAAATAACACAAGAAAAGAAAAAGAATTCTGCTGCCTTATATAACCACTGGCTTGGCAGGTAAAAAAAAAATCAATTTTCTTTTCATCATTAGAATATTTGTTACACAAACTGTGCTTTGGAATGTTTTGTTTAGCTTATATAGTATATAGTTCATCAAGTTATGTAGCCCTTACTTCAAGCCTGGTTACCTACTTTCTAGTAAGCATATGAACTCAAAGTGTGCACAGAGGAACTTCAAGCTTGTCTGGGAATGGTTAGTTTCTGCTATACCTAGATGCCCAAGTTTGTCTGTTATTGCTACCCTTTGTCAATATAGGGCATATACTGTGACAATGAGAGCCCTTACTCAAAGACTAAGAGATGTCCATTGACTGGTATCTTATTTCTCCTGGTACTTATATGTAGTGACAGTGGGATGACCTGATTGTCTAAGAGCAGTGGCTACAACTACCCGCTGGTAAGAAAAGCTACCTTGGGGCTGGGGATTTAGCTCAGTGGTTCCACCGCCTGCCTCGCAAGTGCAAGGTCCTGAGTTTGATTTCTGATACAAAAAAAAAAAAAGAAAAGAAAAAAGAAAAGCTACCCAGTTGTTTTTGGAAGTACAGACCCCTCATTAGGGTCAAGATGTCTTAAAGGCAAAAAGGACATAGGTAGATGACCAGAGGTCAATTCTTGCACTGTCAGGCTCATCTGTGGAGAAGGTGTGCAATGGAAGGAAAAAGGACTCTGTTTTGATGAGGAAGCTGTTGCACCCAGTGAGAAAGAACCAACCAGAGACCGATATTAAATCCACACAGGAGTTTATTACTGGCCGGGACCTGAGCCCAGCATCAGACTCGAGCCTCGACTGGGGAAAGACAAACATGTTTCATACACCTTTGAGGCCAGCAGTTTCTAGCCCCCCCATGGGATAGAACTAGTAAAGCAAGCAAAAGGTACAGCAGCAGAACTTTCTGCTGTTAGAACATTTGTAAAACAATAGTTGATTGTTATTTCTAAAGAGACTTTCTAAGGGGAGGAGGTTTTTAAGCTTCCTCCTTCTGAGTTCATCTAAAGGGCAGGCAGGTGGGTCAAGCAGCAATGTGGAGTCTGTCTTGCTAACTAGGGTCTTTCAGAAGCTATAGGAAGGCATGCACAGTACAGATTTCAGGAAAGAAATGAAGGGGATATAAAGAAAGAAGGGAGAATGTGTTTGGATATGAAAGTATTTTGAATAGTGAAATTTTTCCAAAGGGTTAAAGTACATTACAGAAGGTTTGCAAGGGATGAAGCATATGACATGTAGTAAAGTGGGATACAGCTTGCACTAAAACAAAACAAAACAAAACAAAACAAAACAAAAAAAGAGGCAGCTCAAACAATGAAGCCAGAAAGGTTATTGGTGATGGTATCAGACCAACCTCTGGAGTGATGTCCCCAGTGCTGATTGAGAGTAGAGGGTCTGAGACTCAGGGTATTTGTATAAGCCAGTTCGGTTGATCCATTTATGCAGGGAGTCTGTCAGATAAACCTATGACCCTCCTCTACTCACATGAGAGATTCGTTGCTTAATGGTCCTGTGAGGGCTTTCAGCAGTCTGGCTATTCTCCATTCTGGCATTTACATAGTCATTAAGGCAGCATGCTGGGGTGGCTCTGGACATCTGGGGCAGACTACGGCAGCAGTGTTGGATGTGTGCAGTGTATTCCTCTCCCGAGTATTCAGCAAGCTCCTATGTTGTTTGGGTCTCCACCATGCACTTTGGTGGAGTTTTGCCCCAAATCAGCTTCAGAGCAGTTAAAAAGACAGACTTTCAGCTCTCATTAAGATTAAGGAGAATGAAATCTCAGGGGAGAAGTGAGACAGACAAGAAGCACCTGGCTGGGGACTGGGGCTTTAGCTCAGTGGTGCCACACCTGCCTGGCAAGTGCAAAGTCCTGAGTTCAACTTCTGGTACCAAAAAAAAAAAGAAGCACCTGGCTTTCTCATTTTTTTCCCCTGCTGACTAGAGGGGATGTGGCTTAGCCAGCAGCTGTCTGCCCCTCCCCTTTGTTTCCCTTTGCTCCCCCTTGCACCCCAATGGACTGGGACAGTTTGCTTCAGTGTCCTCCCTGGTTATCCAATGACATCTTCACTGGCTGTCAAACCACCATTTTGCACTGCAGTATGAATGCAGCCAAGCATGGTGTCCTTTCCCCACGAGTCTTCTGAGTCCTTCCTTTGTCCCAGTTCCTTGAGGAATTCCATTTAAGTAACTGTACTCTTGGTCACCCCTGCACTAACCCCAAAGCAGCCATCTGTAGGCTCCCTAAAGCTTCATCTGGTGGCTCCCTGGTGAAGCCACTTTATCCTGCTTGATGATAGGAAAACCCAATTCCTCAAGAGTTTAAAAATACAATATACAAAGAAAATGAGCATGGTGGATTAAAATGGAGGGCCAAGATAAAGTAGCAAATAGTAATAAAACGTAATAATATAGTGGTAAAGAGCAATAGTGCAGCTTAAAGAGAGAAGAGGGAGTCAATTGTTAGCAGCAGGGACGGCCACTTAGGAATCACTGAGTAAGGCACTGGGCGGCCATGAGGGAAGGTGCCCAAGACATCTGCTTCTGAGAGGCACCTCTGGAGTGGCTGCTGGGTTCTAAGAGTTGAGATGGAAGTGTCAAGGCAGGTGGCTTCAGAGTATGAAGGCTTTCCTAAGGGGAGATGTAGGTACAGAGAGTTTTCAAAGAAATACTTTTCTAGATTCTCAAATTCCTTACATACTGAATTCTTGAAATTACTTGGCTTGGGGTGGAGGCCTCATGTGGAGTTTCCAGTCTCCTCTCCCCTCCTGTTGTCATCATTCTGCTCCTTTCTAGGAGTAGGTGAGGGACATTATCCCTAGGGGCCCAAATAGAAGGGTCATCCATATACTGGAATCAGATATTAGTGTCAACAAGCCTCTTCTAATAATTTCACCACCTTGATCTAAGAGGAAGAAGGTTGTGTTTACTTTTGCTATGGTAGGCTGCCTAATGCCCCCTCAAAGATATCCAGAACCCACGAATATGTTATCTTACGTGGCAAAAAGACTGCAAGGTGTACATCTGTAATCTCAGCACTTTTGGAGGCTCAAGCCAGAGGATATTAAATTTGAGCCCAGCCAGGGCAACTTAGCAACTTAGCAAGACCCAATCTCAAACTAAAAAAATAAAAAAATAAAAAGGGGCATGGGATATAGCTCAGTGCAAAGGCCTGGGATTAACCCCCAGTACTGGGTGGAAAAGGACCTTGCAGATGTGATTAAGGATTTTCGGGGGGGGGGGCAATCCTGGATTTGTCAGGTGTGCCCAATATCTTTAGAGGCGTCCTTAAAAGTGAAAGAGAGGCAGTAGGAGAGTCGGTGTTGGAGGGACATAGTGGAGGAAAACTCAACTCTCCATTGCTGGGTTTGAAGATGAAGAAAGGGCTCCACTAGCCGAGGAAGGTGAGAAACTGTGGGAACTTGAAAAGGCCAGGAAAGGGATGCTCCCATGGGCTTCCAGAAGGAGTGCAGCCCTGCTGGCACTTTGATTTTAGCTCAGTGAGGCCTAGACAGACTCCTTACTTCTAAAGCAGTAAAACTGTTTGAAGTCATTGAGTTTCTAGTGATTTGTTATAGTGATAAGAAATAAATATATCTGCCTTATATGTATTTTTCTCTTGCTAAAACATGGGATTTGAAATGGGGCATATTAGCCTCTCTTGGGTTATTCTGAATTCAGATGCATTGTAGAATGAGGCAGAGCTGATGACAATTTTTGTTTAATGATCTCTCCTTTCCCTCCCCAGCCCTTGTTGAAAAATACAGCAGTCCTGATAGAGAGTCCCAGGAGAGGAAAGCAGGGCCAGCACCGTGGAAAACACTGCAGGTGAGGCTGCCCTATTTCACCTGGGGGACTAAGCCTGTTCTCTGGACCTATCAGTTCATCTTAGATTAGGGTTCCAAAGCAATGCCACTGCTGTGGAGGCATGCAAAGCAATGCATTTATTGGAACTGAAGAATGAAATCAATCTTTTTGTCCTGTTTAGGCTTCACTAATTAGGGTATATAAAGGACTTTTACATAATCAAACAAGCTAAAACTTTATTTCTATGTATGGATAAAAATATGATTCAGCGCCTAAGTAAGATTGAAAGATTTGATCAAAAGTGTTCTACTCACACCCATTAAAATAGATATTATTAAAACAGGAAAATACGCTTTGGTAGATGTGGAGAAATTAAAACTTGTGTATTGCTGGTGGGAATCCAACATGATACAGCCACTGTGGAAAACAGTTCATTGGCATTCCTTAAAAAATTAAAGTTACTATGTGATCCAGCAATTCAATTCTCAGAATATACCCAAAAGAACTGAAAGCAGAGATTCAAACGGATACTTGTGCAACAGTGTTCATAGCACCATTACTTGGAATAGCCAAAAAGCAGAAACAACCCAAATTCTATCAACATATGAACAGATAATGGTGTGTGGAGTATTATTCAGCCTTAAAAAGCAATAAAATTCTGATACATGATACAGTATGGATGAGCTTGAAGACATTTTGCTGAGTGAAATATGCCAGACATTAAAAGACAGACACTACTGTATATAATTTTGCTTATGTGAAGTACCTAAAATAGGCAAATTCATAGAGACAGCAAACTAGAAGTTATCGGGGGCTTAGAGGAGGAGAGAAAAAGGAAGTCATTGTTTCATGGATACGGACTTTCAGTTTAAGATATTATTCAGGAAGTGAATGAACACAAACTGTGGCAATCCAGATAATAGAGTATTATTCAAGGCTAAAAAGAAATGAGTCATTAAGCCGTGGGAAGAGTTGGAGGAACCATAAATGTCCATTGTAAAGAGAAGTCAGTCTGAAAAAGGCTACATGTTGTATGATTCCAGTTGTATGATGTAGGGAATCACTTTTAATTGATTCAAAGCCTGGAGCACTTGAGGACCCTTAAGGACACAGACTTGCACAACGGGACACACTTACATAAGCATGACTTAGCATAGACTACCGAGCATGTGTTACATGGTTATATAAGGACTAAATGAAGTAAGGCTGTATAGTGGCCTATATAAAGGCCGAGGAATAAAGACCCTTGCTCTTGTCCTCCTTGCTGATGTTGGCTCCATGTGCTTTCTTTGCCCTGGGGACCTACCTGAGAAAATACTCCTTCAGCCCCCTAACTCTGACATATGACATTCTGGAAAAGGCAGAACTGGGGGGAAAGTAGAAAAATGAGTGGTTTCTGGAGGGTAAGAGGGCGAGATGAATAAGAGGAGCACAGAGGACTTTTAGGGCACCAAAGCTACTGATATAAAAAAACTCTTTGAAGAAAAACCTCCCCTCAACAGTTGTCATAAAGAACTTCAGCCAATACATAACCCAATGTCCCATTGGGAGGAGAAGCCTGTCCCAAAATTCCTTGGGGAGAAGAGGCAGGTGGAGCCACAGAGTCCCAGCCTCTGCTTCCCTTCTTGTCTGGATCAGAGGGTGGCTGAAGAGAATCTCTCACACACCTGTGTTCTCTGCCAGGGAAGTGAGGAGGCAGAAGCGGGGTTTCATCCTTCACAGATTTATTTTGGTTCTGGGACGCCTGGAGCCTTTGTGTCCTGCACCCACTGTGCACTCTGAGATCAGACAGAGCTGTTCCTTCTAAGGTCAGCACCCAAGCTCGTGTCTGTCTTTTAGTTAAATTTCCTTGGTTTAGTAACTCCTGTGGATTTACAGCTGTTAAAACAGAAACCGCGTGTGACTGCCCTCCCTGACTGCATGGTCACCAAGTGATGTGTTACATCAGGCACTGAAGACAGGGGACATGGGGATCCTTCAGTAAGCACCTCATCATCAACTCCTAGAATGGAATTGTTATTTGGTAGGTTCAAGGACTCTCCTCCAAGGCTGGGCTGGGAATTCATAGGCACCAGGTTTTTACAAGGTACTGAAGCCTCTTCAAGCAAACTACTGCCCATTAGTGGCTCAGCAGTTTGTTCCTGCTCTTGATTCCCAGCTGTCCCCAGTTGCAAGTGATGCTTTCTCATGTGCACATTCCTGCTTCCACTCTCAGAGAATGTCTTCCCACAGACTTGGCACTGATGAGGCTTCTCTCCTGAGTAGACCACCAGATGTTTTCAGAGGCTAGAATACTCAGCAAAGGAGCAGCCACATCTTGGGCCTCACAAAGAAAAGGTTTCTCTCCCGTGTGGATGCGCAAGTGATTCTAGAGGTTTCCAACTGTTGTGAACTGCTTACCACAACTGGACTCAGGGCACATAAAGGGCTTCTCTCCATTGTGGGTCCTCATGTGCATCTCGGCCTCTGCAGCACATAGAAGCTTTTTTCATAGCCTTCTGCAGGGCAGATGAAGGAGTGGTCATTTCAATGAGTTTTGAGGTGGTACTTGAAATGAGCTGGCCACACAGAATTCTGGTCACATCCTTCAACGGTACACTTGAGCTTCTTCTCCACTTGAGGAAGGGGTCCAGAATCTTTGGGTTGCCCATCAGCGGAACTGAGGTGAACATTTTCTCCATTACTGCTGTTTTTTTCATTTTTTGCCAGCTCTGCACAAGTAGCAGCAATCAAACTGTCATGGGCCAACTCCTGAACTTGGAGGAACTGTAGAATGCTACTGTCTGTGCTCTCACTGGAAAGGAAATCATTCCCTGAATCCTCTGCTTCATCTTGTACAAACACTAAGTGCTCAGCTGAAAAGCCCAGACCTGCTCTTGTTAGATTAAGAAGAATAAAAGAAGTGCTATCACTTGGCTGTAGATTCTGTGACAAGCTAGGAGACTCTGGAGTGGATAAAAACACTGGGGACTTCTGTACAGTCTGAGCCCTTTTCTCCTCCATCTGGGCCCACATTTACCTGAAGGCTTCTCAATACAGCCGGGGAAGTGACCTTCTTGGAGGAGTTAGTATATTTGAAGTATCATCTCTGGTTTGGATTCTAACTCATCTGATAACATTGATTCAGCTTTTAAAATCCTGTAGCTCTTCAGGGTACAGGTTCAGATTTTATTTAGAGTCAATGATACCTTCCTGTTATTCTCATATTCCTTAGAAAATTCTATGTTCTTCCTGTAAGATGCTGAACGAGGCTGGCAACGAATTTAGCCTTCCAGACCCAGAGTGCCGGCCGGCCATCAGTCAGTCCTGAATTCTGTCCACACATAGCAGCTTCCAGCTCCAGAAGGAAACCTCCCTGCTCAATTTTGTTATGAACTGTAAACTGCTCCTTTAAAAAGCTACCTATGAAAAACATGGGGAAAAAAAACTACCTATGTTATGAGTAAATTAATGAAGCGAGGAAAAGTGTAGATGCAGAAACATTTGCTGAGAGCAGAACAGATCTATGGGGACAGGACAGTACTTTGGGCCAAGTACTGGTTCCTTGCAGCTGATCCAGTGGTGTGCTCCACTCTTTGAAGGAAAATAGGTTTGTTTTCTAGTTGATAAGAAGGAATAGATGGAACCAGGAGATATTTGGAAAATACAGTTGACTGGATTTGTGAACAAATGGTTGAGAAGCTGGACAAAAGGGTATCCCAGAGGAGTACTCTGGAGAGCTGACTGCTCAATTTGCAGAAATTTTGGGAGCTGACTATGAAACAGCTTTTATTAAAATTAAATTATACACACTGACAGGTATATTAAAATTATAGTATAATTATAATTAAATTACACTAAAAAAAGGGTTGACAACACTTGAAATTTATCATTCCTAATTATTTTTTTTATTACCAATTCAATTGAGAGTATTTACATCTACTAGATTTGTTTGGCAGCAATAGTACATAGTGGTGGGTTATTACACATCTTTTCCTAAATCCTCACCTGCTGATACGGTTGTATTGGTAATAGTACAAATCACAAATCAGAGCTTTTCCCCTTATGCAGCCAGCTGTTCCTTCTCACAGCACAGGGAGTCTCTAGATTTCTAATTTGGGACAACTAGTATATAGAGTCATTTTTTCAGTAACCAAGGGGGCATAGAAAGAGGAACAGAGTTGGGGAGGAAGATATATATCGAGTTTTGAATGATAAATTTAAGGGATTTGTGGATTATCCAAGTAAATATAAGAGAGATTGAAATCTAGGGGCCATTTTATCTGGAGAAAGATGTTTAAAAGCATCATATTAGCACATAAGAGTTAGATGAAGGCAAGTTAATCATCTGAGGACATATTGTTGTAGATTTTTATGAGTTTTTCCTAAATCAAATATGTTTCCCAGCTCTCTGGGAGGCAGAGGCAAGAGGATTGCAAATTCAAGCCCACCCTAGGCAATTTAGTAACTTAGCCAGGCCATGTCTCAAAATTTTAAAAGGGGTGAGGATTTAGCTCAGTGCAAAGGCCCTAGGTTCAATCTCTAGTACTGGGGATGAGGTAGGGTGGGAGTTGGAGTGGGAGTTGCCTTGCTCGTACCAAATTACATAATAATTTAGGTGCTGGGGATCAAACCCATGGCCTTGCACATGCTAGGCAAGTGCTCTACCACTTAGCTACAATAGCAATTTTTTTTTTTGGTACCAGGCATAGCACTTGGAACCTTGTGCTTATAAGGCAGGCGCCAGAACCACTGAGCTAAATTCTCGTCCTCTACAATAGCAATTTTTAAAAGATATTTTAAGGCTCTTCTGGCTATTAGAGGAAGTCCTCAGGATAACACTTCTCCAGGCTTTCCCAGATATACAGAACCACACCTCCAACCTGCTCACAGCATTAGCAGAATAAGACACATCCAGCTTCAGCTAATCAAGGACTTCCAATACAAGATTGATCAGAATGTAGTGTTACACACGTCAGTGTCATATATGGATGGGAGTGTGGAGTTCAGCCAGGTGGAGTGGCAGCACATGGGTCCTCTCGGAGGATCCTGCACCAGGATGTGATGCTGGAGAACTACACTACTTCCTCAGTGGGCATTTCAGAGGGCAAGTTAACCTCAGTGACAGAGTATGTGATATTTCCTCATGGTGTCTTACATTCTAGGACTGACCTTGAACTGAATTCAAGTGATGTGCCTGCCTCAGCCTCCCAAGTACACAAGAGAACACATGTGTGCCACCATGCCTCATGTCAGACTTTTTCAGGTTATGACAATACATCAGAAAGATTATAAATTAACTTCTAAGTTCTGCTGTGGCTATGGTACAAGCACTGTTGTGTATTAGTATTAGCTCTCATATTCTATTTTCCATTATTTATTTTAAAAGTGTATTTCTTAATTTTCAAATATATAGGAGTTTATCTTACGTTCTTACTTGTTTCTAGCTTCATTATATTATAACAAAAAATATGCCTCATCATTTTGATCCTTTGAAATGGGCTTATTGTGGTCAGTACATGGTCAATGTATTATGTGCCTGTGAAGAATATATATTCAGAATTATCTGGTTTTGTGTTCCATACTGGCCAAGTGTTGACAAATTTCTGATTGCCTGTAATTACTGACTTGACTTGACCAAACTTTAGTTAGGCTTCTCTCCTGTTTTAGGTCCCTGTGCTCTGGCCCACACTTAAACTTAGACAGTACTGAGACATAGGGTTGCCACTTTAGGGCCTTATTCAAAGAATCTAGAGACCAAACAGACATTCCCATAAGTCCATTATGATTATGCCATCTGCTCACCCCACTGCTTGCTGCCCTCTCCTAGAAACTTGCTGCTCACCTGCTCATCCCTCCCTCTATGAAAGCAATGACCTTTTCCATTTGATTTTGAGATTGTTGTAGATCCCGAGGTCAGAGTGCTATCCTTATTGCAATAGCCTTTTCTCATACTTTTTCAACTCGGGATTTATTTGGGGCAATATACAACAATTAGTCAATCAGTTTACCTTCTTAATGAAATTGCATATCTTAAATTGTTCTGTCTTCTTGCCTGCTGTTTCTTAGAGAGCTAATTTAAAACAACCAACTTGTAAGTAGGTTCATCTGATTTTTAGTCATGTTTCTAATTTCTTTATTCCAAAATTTGAGACTTTATGTGTGTACAAATTTTAAAAATTGCCAATGACGTGAATACCTTATCATTCGAATTTAATCCATGTACTCCCTAATAAAATGCTGTTTGCTTTAAAATGGAAAAATAAAAGATATTTTAAACCCCAGCCCTCAATTGGAATTTTAAAAAGATACTCATTTTTACCAAAACTTCTAAAGCATTCAACTTTTATGTGTTTTTTTGTTTGTTTGTTTGTTTTTTGGTACCAGGGATCGAACTCGGGACTTTGAGCTTGCGAGGCAGGCGCCAGAACCAGAGCTAAATCCCTGGCCCTAAAGCATTCAACTTTGTGTTTTCACCTTTCATCAATTTACCACACTGTCAAATTACATTACATAATTACAATAGCAAGTACAACTCCTATAAACCTGTTTGGACACCACAGCTGAGTGCAAAAATTGAAGACTTTTCTATTAAGGAGCTCACACAGTGTGGGGAACAATGCACTCAGTGATTTAAGTGCAGATGGTCAGTTGGGAGAGGTCTATTGTAAGAATAGCGGTGGTGAGGCAGAGCAGGGGTCGGTTGTGGGGGGGGGGGCTCCCTCGACGCGCTCTGGCTCCATTGGCTGGCCTCCCCAGCCAAGATGACGGAAAGGTCGCGGGGGCGGAGATCCAACCCCTGAGCAGAACGGGGCTGGGCTGGCTGCCGGTGGGAGACAGCAGCGGCTGAGGAAGATGAAGACCCAGTTTCGAACATGAGACTCGTTGGGTGATCATTTCACTGAGATAACTTGAATGACCAGGTGTAAAGTGCAAGAGGAATGTACAATGACTGAGGCAATTCAAATTATTTTATTGCCAACCTCTACCTCTTTTGATTCTGCAAGAGAAACAATGTCTCCAGCAGCCCCTAAAGCCCAGGAATCCAGTCAGTTATCAAACAGACTCGTGATTGAAAAACAGTAGGAGGAAGCAGAATGGGAAACCATAAAGGTGCTGTTAATGAGGCATGGCTTAAAACCTTTGTGCCTCCTCAAAAGAACAGATCTTAAAGGTAATCAGATCTTATTCTTGTTCTTCAAGATCTTATCATTTTTAATAAACAGTCATCACAAAGGATGAGGGAGAATTTGAAAATGTTGGTGGAAGAAATAGAATATCAACAGAACATGATACAAGAGCTCATAGAAACTAATCAGCAGCTTAAAAATGAGCTTCAGCCAGAACAAAGCCGAGCAGCACATCAGGAACAACGAGCTAATGACTTGGAACAAATTATGCAGAGTGTGAAATGCAAAATTGGTGAATTGGAAGATGAATCTCTAAATAGGGTTTGCCAGCAACAAAATAAAATGAAAGATCTTCAGAAGGAGTATAGAACTTTACAAAGTGCCAGCATTACAAGAAAAAACAAATGGAGCAGCAAAAGATTATTGCTTCTTTCCAAAAGGATATCTGTGGATTAACAAAAGAGGAAGAACAAATTATCACTCAAAACAGAGTGTTTGCCTATCTCTGCAAAAGTTTGTCATACCTTCTTGGATAGACAGTTGCTTTGCCTAATTTACTACTATGAATCTAAAATTAGAAAAATCCATATACAAAGGCAATATAAAAAAGATGAAAGTCAATCAGAAGAAGAAAAAGATTACAGAAATCTGAATGGCTCACCAACTTATAAAGGCCTCTACTGTCATTACAGAATCAACTCAAGGAATCAAATTCCAAGATTGATGCACTTTTAAGTGAAAAGCAGAACATCCTAAAAGATTTAGAAAGCAGGCCCACACAACATGAATTAAGACTTTATAAACAGCAAGTGAAGAAAGTAGAGAAACCCCTCAAGAAAAACATTAAGTTACAGGAGCTTATCAGTCATACAAAAACTGAGGACACAAAGAAAAAAGATGAATCCAGCAAAGAAAGCCATCAACAAGCTCTAGTTGACCAGAGATACTTTCAGGTGCTATGTAGCATCAATTCAATTATTCACAATCCAAGAGCTCCAGTAGTAATCTATAAACAGAGCAAAGAAGGAACCCAACATTTTAACAAAGATTTTGTTCAAGACTGTAGATTTTTTTTTTTTTTGTACTAGGGATCAAACTCGGGTCCTTGCTCTTGCGCAGCAAGTGGAGAAACCACTGAGCTAAATCCCCGGCTCAAGACTGTGGATTTGAACATCTTGTTCCTATAACAGAAATGTGGGCAGATGAACTGACATCCCTGAAGGATTTGTTTAAGTCCTTGAAAATATTATCTGCAGAGCTGGTGCCTTGGCATAATTTTAAGAAACAGGATGAAAATGAAGGTGTCAGAGTTGAAAATCTGTTGTTTATGGTAAATACCATGTTGGAAGAAGTTGAAAATAAGGAAGAGGACAGTAACATGCCAAACTTTCAAACTTTGCAAGCTATTGTGTCTCACTTCCAAAAATTATTTGATGTGCCTTCTTTAAATGAAGTCTATCCCTGAATGAATGAAGTGTCTACTAGACTTGGAGAAATGAACAATGCTTTGAGAAACCTCCAAGAACTCTTAGATAGTTCATCCTCACTGTGTGTGCTGGGAAGCACAGTTGGAAAATTGTGTAGGCTGATTAATGAGCATGTGAATGAGCAGGTTAAGCAAGTATTAGGACCCGAAGACCTCCAAAGGTATTTGAAAAATACTCATTCAGAATTCTTGGAATGGTGAAATTAAAGATATTCAAACCTTAAAAAAAGAAAAATAAAAAGAATAGCAGTAGTTTGAGTACATGCTGGATTATGTATCAGACACTGTGTTTCCTTGAACTATCTTAATTCTCAAAATCATCCACGGTATTAAAATAATAAAGGATAAGTTAAAAATGCAAATCTTTTTTTTTTAAATCTTTTGTTTTAAGCTATGCCACCCATCTTATACTCCAAAATGAAAACATCACATCTGGGTTTTGTGATTGAGTCTCCGATGTCTTTGATCATTGGTTTGAAATCATGCTAACAGCTCACTATATTAGTATAAATCATATGAAAACTTTCTTTTTCCTGAAGTGTGGCGTAGTTCAGTTAATTAATCCATATGTAGCATACGTCAGTTAATCTGCAGGTATTTATGTACAGAATCCTAGCCTACAATTCTGGTAACTGTTGTTATCTCAAATTTCCAATCAGTGTAATTATCTGTGAACTTGCTTAGGTCTTACCAGAGCTTATGCTTGCAATGAGCCTGTGGTGTCCAAAGTAGTACCAGCCTCCAAAAATATCATCCTACAGGGTGGGGATGTGCCTCAATGGCAGAGCCTTTGCTTAGCAAGCAATCTCCAGTACTGAGGGGTGGAAGGGTGGGGAACAGTCCTTTTGTTCTGATAAATTCTTTGTGTGTGTGTGTGTGTGTGTGTGTGGTTTTTTTGAGACAGGGTTTTGTTGTGTAATTCAGTCTATTCTTGAACTCATTGTTGTAACCCAAGCTGGTCTTGAACTTGTGGCACTCCTCCTTGACTCTGCCTCCCAGCTGCTGGGATTAAAGGCATGGGCCATCATGGTTAGCTTTGTTCTGACAAATTCTTTTGGGGTTTTTATATAAAACTAATGAGATGACAAAAGTATCTTTGCAGCTCCTGAAAACAGTGTCACTGAGTAAGGAGTAGGTGAATGATTGTGGCCGCCTTTTAATTTCTGTTTGGTTGATAACTGGTACCAGCTATGGTTGGAGGCAGCGGATCATCTGTTACATATACTTTGTCTGAATAAGTTTTGTTGTCCCCTGCCCCAAAGCACAAATGCTGACCCCATAGACAACAGTATCTCAATATTCTACCTCAGCGTGCCAGGGAGTCTCACCACAGCTCCTTCAATACATGAGGCACAGAGCACCAAACAGGGCCAGTTATTTGTGATTGGTCACAAATGCATTTTTAATATGCTTTCAAAATAGGTGAAGTATAGAAAAGTTATTTAAGGAGGCCTCAATTATGAATAACTAGGACACTGTAAGACATGAAATTGGAGTAAACAAGAGTTTCCACTCTTTAAATGCTACTGCTTTCCTTCATTACCTGTACTACTGTCATTGTAGCAGCTTTTTTCTTCTTCTTCTTGGTACCAGGAATTGAATTCAGGATCTTGTGCTTTTGAGGCAGGCACAGTGCTACTGAGCTAAATCCCTGGCCGCCAGCTACTACTTGTTATGCTCAGCAGTTGGTTCCATAAGGTTGTCATAGACGTGAACCATGGCTCCTGTGGGACACACAGGTTTAGGTACCTGCAAACCTCTGGTTGCAACATTTTCATCAGCTAATAAGTGCATAACTTGTTTCATGTGTGTTTCTGTTTACAGATACCTTATTTAGTTCATATTGTTCATTCATTTATATCCAACTCATGGCCAACAGCTCTTACACAAGGATGAGTGAAACTTATCTAACATGTATTTTTTTTCAGGGCACCTCACAGCCTCCTTGCACTTATGAACACTACGCAACACTTCACCTCTACACTCGGGCACTTTGAAGCAGTAAAATCACCAACAAAAGGCACAGCTGTCGGGAGCAATTATACATAATTTTGGGGAAAAATCACTTCACAATTAAATCATGATTAGGGCCTAGTTTTCCTGTCTACAGGCCAGCTATGGCATGTTGAAACACCTCCATTTTCTGCCTCTAGTCACAACTAAAACCTCGATGGTGCTATGATGCTGTGATGCTCCAGGGCAGGATTACACCAGCTGAAGACATCCTGGGGAGAAACATAACTTTCATCTGCATAGATCCTCATTGTTCTAGGATTATCACCTTGGCCCTCTGAGTCATCTGCTACATTTGTTTCTCCCCTTGTACTGAATAAAGCTGTGGCAAGCTCAGGGTCTTTCATCGTTGCTGACCAGAGCAGCACTGAACAGGCCCAAAGCTCAGCTTCTTCTCTAAGTCTAATTTCTGTCTATATATTAATTAATTCACCTTGTGCTGTCATGCCTCACAGGAGACTAGGACCTAATGCAGAGGTTCTAGTAATGTCCCCTTTCCCTGTTCCCTACAAGGAGTGGTAAAAGTGTGATGCAAAATCCGAGTTGACCACGAGGACATTTGTCTATGGTATGAGATTTGAAGCAAGAAGGCAGAACATCATCTTGTTCCACATATATATTGGACAACTGAAATTTTTTCACCATTCTGCACATGTCTAGAAATTACTGTAAAAGTTCACAAGTATTGATTTTTTAAGTTAAAATGCATCATAATTGGAAATTACAGAATCTACAGATAATGAAGACTGACTCAATATATTGAAACAAAGATTTATGGTTCTGTTTGATCTATGGTGATATGGCAAAAACAGTAATTCTTTTGATTACTCTAATTTAGATACTGTGGTGTTTGTCATTTCCTGTTTATGGAGTACCTGATTTGAGAAACTGTCTTACCATCAAGACTCTGGACGTACCAAACTATCTAGGAAGAAGTTGGGCAAGAATATGTGGGTTGAAAAAAAATTTTTTTAAATGGGTTGGACTCTATTTGCAGAGAAGTAGAGAAGTCAGAGGTAATTTTATCAGAGTTT